GCGCGGAGAGCCCTTTTCCCCAGCCTGACCAGGTCCCTCGCTTGGTGTTTCTCCCTCGTGCTCTTCTCTTTTGGTGGCTGTCCACAACTGTACCCACTCAGGCTGTTTGGGAACCGCAGTGGGTCCCCAGGATTTCCTCATTTGGACTGGGACTACTGGAGTACTGAAGTCAGCAAGCTGCTGCGACGGCGTGTCTGTTGACAGCCCAGTTCTTACTGCCTCGCCAAACTTGACGTAAGCAGCGTGGCTCTTCAGACTCTGCTTGTGCACAAGCCTGCGGAGAATCTACCACGTCATGACATCTTTTCTGTCTCGGCTGCCAGCTGTTGCCAGAGGTTTGCCAATGTTTGTGTAGTAACGTAGTTCTTATCATTGCTTACTCTGACAGTCGATTTTAAAAAGCTGAATAAATAGTAACATGCTGGTGTCATGTTTGCCCAGGGGAGGGAAAAAAAAAAGATATTTCACTGTGATTTTTATACAATTGTATCAGCTTTCTGCTTTTCTGTAATAAATGGCTTTTTCTGATTTTGGGATCTCTAGGATTTGTGCCAGCCGGTGTTCTCAGTCTGAAAATGCGAGGGCCTTGCAATGCCTGGAGGGATGGCCAGGGAATTTCCCCCTCAGCTCATGGACTGCAAAGAGCCTGGCTCTTGATCTCTAGGATTTGTGCCAGCCGGTGTTCTCAGTCTGAAAATGCGAGGACCTTGCAATGCCTGGAGGGATGGCCAGGGATCTTCCCCCTCAGCTCATGGGCTGCAAAGAGCCTGGCTCTTGGCACCTTCCCTTCAAGTGTTGATACCCACCATAGAATCCTAGAATGGTTTGGGTTGGAAGGGACCTTAAAGATCATCTGGTTCCAACCCCCTCAGCTCATGGGCTGAGGAGGAGGAAGACCTAAATCCTGTCAGGTTTTGCACCTCAGGCTGTCGGCGCGCCAGCTCGACGCGGCACGCACGGCGTCGGCGCTGCAGTGGGCTCCAGGTACTGTGCCCTCCTGCACTGCTAGGATGCGCCTGGACCAGAAGATTCCTCGAGGAGCGGCGGGG